AATTTTGTGAATGGTTATTTGATTTAGTTGTCTTTTTCTAAATATTTTAAAAATAAATATTTTCTAAATAATATTTGTTATATCAGTATAATGGCAATGTAAAAAGCCGTTTTTTTATTTATTTTGGCAACAATTATTTTATGTATTTGTCTTACATTTGCACACAGTAAAAATGGATTTTAACACAAAAATATACAGCTGCCTTAATATTTATCAACAGCTATAGACGATATAATACTGTACACAATATAATGTTGTGAACGTTCAAGTATTTTTTTTTATTTCAATAGTTTCCTTAGACGTTCTCTTTCTTGCATTTGTAAACACTGTAAAATACCAATACCAGACTGCTGATAACATTACAGATGGTTTGTTTGCTCTGAACTTCGAAGAAGAAACTTTAGTATTTGCTGTTTGGTGATGGTGATTAGAACTTTTGCCACGACTTTGAAAGTAGAACATTCTCTCCAGGCCATATCAGAAAAAAGGCCGTAAGAAGTAGGTCATTCAGATCTGATACAACATGACCCAATTTGCTATCTCACTATTTGTTATGTTCCCTTAAATTTCTGCATGAGCGGAGCAAACTATGTATTATATCACTGTCATTCTAATCTTTTAGAGGTCAGCTTGCGATTCCTAATGGACATATTGCATTTTGCATTGCAACGCCATCAGTGGCACCACTTAATATGATGATAATGTAGAGCAACATACACAAGCACTTGTTGCTTCTACCCAATTCAGTGTTATACAAAAAAATGCAAATATAATTTCTCTTGTGCTGTAGAGAAGGGCTCTTGTTTTATGGTGGTCTGTTTTGGAAATTATGCAGTGTGTTGTAGCGTTTGAGGTGGATCACAAAGGAATCCATTATGGAACCAAAAGATGAAAGTGCTCTTCAAAATGTATCAGACATTGTGCCTTAATATATCTAAAATGTGCCTCTTTCTATTAGGACTACTTTTTGCTCTTCTCATGATGCATGCCAAACAGAAATTTCGAATGAATAGGCGCTGTTTGGGTGTCAATTACTTTAATGTGTTCATAGAAAATGTAAAAATGAGTAAATGAGTAACACACATATGTATAAACACAATGCAGCCCTGTAGATTAAGAATAAGAAATTAGATATAAGTGTATCTAAGCCATAAAATAACAATAATTATTTAAAAAATATAACAATTTTTATTCAAAATTATTTAATACTTTGATAGTAATATAATATTTTATGGCTTTTTTTTTTGTGGAGAATGTCTAAAGGTCATATCCTGCCATGTCTTGATGTGACTGTTATTTACCCTTCATTTACTCATGCAGTGATAAGCAGTGTTAATCAGTAAGGATGGTCTCCTGAGGCACAGGCGTTTTTAGTATGAGATAATTAACAAATGCACAACAGACTCACAGTAAATCTTGTGGATGCTGTAGAACAGAGCCAATCTCAGATATGTGAAGTAGTCTGCAGGCTTTAAACGTGCTATGAGCTCTCCTGACAGGTTACTTATCAAGATTTCTACCAAGAGACAGTTATTTCCGTAAAGGGCAGCTCTGGAGAATTTAAGGTCCCACCAACATGGCAATACGAAAATAAAAAAATTAATAATGAAAAATGTTTTGAAAATTGTGTGTATATGGAAGTTAGGTGACAAGTAAATATTTATTTATCTATCTATATTATTTATTTTATTTTATTTGTTTATTAATTTACACCACCCTTTAAAAAGGTTATGGCAGACAATTATCATTGTTTTATAATTTATTATTTGTTTATAAATATTATTATTATTTTATTTATTTGAATTTTATTTATTTATTTATTTTCTTGCTTGCTTGCGTGCTCTAGAACATCATACTAAATTCACTCTCTGATCTTACTGCTAATATTTTGCCTGCTGTAATCTTTTCAAAGGGTGTTGTGGTAGAAGTTCAAAGGGATTACTCAAGCTATTCATTTCAAGCCCTACAATGGGTAGGGAGGAGCAAAAATTTGTTTACCACAAATTTCTTAAACTGACATTCTAGTTTTCCATCATTTTGTTTCAGGAATTTCAGGTTGATGGTGATGCTAGAGTAAAAAGTAAAGTAATTCCAACTAAATCCTATCATGTAATACATTATTGCATTTGGCAGGTGATTTTATCCAAAGTAACTTACATTCAGGGTATTACATTATCAATTTGTGCCTTCTCTAGAAATCAAACACGAGAGAGAGAGGCCCAGTTCAGGAGGTTTAGTGCACAACAACAACAACAAAAAAAGGCTATTGCTGAGCCTGATATTTTGTTATTTTCCTATTTCAGGTTAAACTGTTACTAAAATTTCTCTATTTTTATTCAACACATCCCTGTATTTTTCACCCCGTGTGCTTTGAAAATAATTATTTTTAAAAAGATTTCTGAAAGTAGATATGATTGTATATAAATACATTTTTCTGTTTGATCAAATGTGGATACAGTTAGCATGTACAACATGTTATCTTACGGTACAAGAAAACATATTTATTTTTGAAGTCGTTTAACATTTTAGCTTACAGCATGAGAAACAGATGACAGCACAGGTGCAACTATTGCGTAATACCTCTCAGGGCACAAACACCCCAGTACAGGGAACTAACACTAGATGGCGCTGTTGATCTAACGCTATATTTCTTAAGAGCCTCAGTAGTTCACACAAATAATCTAATCATCAAAATTGTAAAAACTGCTTAGATAATTTAATAATAGATTATAGAGATATAGATTGAGATTGTGATTCAATTAATCTTTTTATCTGTTTAATTCGTTTTTCTCCCTACATTACTGATCATTACAACAGTTTATTTGCAGATGCTTCTGCAACTTCATACGCTTAGCGTGCAACCCTAGTGCAGGAGGACACTAAATTAGCAAGGCTACGTTCAGACAATACCCTCATCACTCAGCGTCAGCGGTGTCTAATTTATAACTGCGTATGTTTGGCTTCAAAGCTTTCAGCTGTTATGTCTCCTCATCCTGAGCCTTCATCATCCCTATGTTTAGTAACGACTGATGCCTGTAGTAACAATGCTGGCTTTGGGAGGGCTTAATTTAGAAACGGGGGTCTTTCCGAGTAACGTTACAAGGCTACCTCTTAGAATAGCATTTGGGCACCAGTGGTGTTGTTTACAGCCTCGGTAAACATACACACGTGGTGGAGCATGGAGCTTTCAGACACGCTATGCAGACAGTCAAGAAACTTGTGCTATGGAAAAACGGGGGCTGAGGGCGTACCATGAGGAGGTGTTCTGACAGAGAAGAGAGATTTCTATTTTTAGGGAGACTGGAAAGTACACTGAGGCCTCTCGAAGGATTTCTGAACAACAAATAACATACCGCAGTCGCCCCAGTCTCTATAAACGTCCAACATCCAACAACTTTCAGAAGTGAACTGATTTTGAAAACAGAGGGACGAGTTTGAGTTCTGTTTGAGGTTTGATGATACATAGATATGTACAGGACCATCTAGAATGTGCTTCAAATCAGCTGAGACAAGGTAAGGCAAGATATGGCTGACAAACCAGGTCTCCGAGTAGATGTTTTGACTGTAGGCACAACAACACCTGTGTAGATTGTAGGTAACAGCATGGCATGTGTTTATGATATGTCAGTCTTCAGGCAAACTGGACAACGCTAGTCTTGGGAGATTAATATGATTGTGTGGTGAACATTGTGTGGCTATAAAGTATGGTGACTAGGGTCCTTTTTTCCATCTTTTATCGTCTTCCATTCTATAGGTATCTTAATATGTGGAATTGCTGAATAAATTATGCATATGTGATGCTTTTGAAAATATTCACTTAATAATATGACTGAGTTTCACAGATGCAACTTCACACTAATGTTTAAGCATGTCATTGTGTCAGTCAGAACGATATGAATGTTTGTTTATTATTTATTCAAAGCATTTATTTTTATAAACATACTTTGATATATATATATATATATATATATATATATATATATATATATATACTTACATACATACAGGCGCACACACACAAAAACTGCATATTTACTGTATAATAGCCTGTATGTAATTTATTATATAATAAATTATATATTTGTATGGGGCATGATGCTATACTGTAGTGCCAAGGTCATGGGCTTCCAATGGAATAGATGAGAAGAGAAAATGTGTATCCTGGATGTTAGATAAAAGCTAAAAGCTGTAAATATAATATCGCTTCATTTTCAAAATCATTCGAGTAGTAATATGAAATGCATCTAAACTGCTGCAATTATTGTTTTCATGTACACAAAGAAAAATATCTTCTGCAATTGTGGCAACAAGTATCCAAATTACAGAAAATTAAACTTTTTTTACAGCTTAGATGAGCCAATTTCAGAAGTCTTGCATTTTAAAGACAAAATCCTGACTTCCACTCTCCTCCTGGAGCTGAATACCTTAAGGAAGGACTGAATTCTCACAGATGTTGTGCTTTGCTCTGAGGGCAAAGAGATCCCATGTCACCGCAATGTTCTGGTGTCCAGCAGCCCTTACTTCTATGCTATGTTTTGCAGCAGCTTCCTGGAGACCCAGAAACCCCAGATAAACCTCCAAGGTGTTCCTTATGACATTCTTACGAGTATGGTGGAGTATGTTTACACTGGGTCCATCAGCATCACCATGGAGCTGGTTCTCCCTCTGATGCAAACTGCCTCAATGCTTCAGTACGGAAGACTTTTTGAGGCCTGCTCCACCTTCCTGCAGGCCCAGCTCAGTCCAGACAACTGTCTGAGCATGATCCGGCTCGCAGAAATCCTGCACTGCTCAAGCTTGAGGGAAAAAGCAAGAGAGCTGGCCGTGAAGAGCTTCTCAGATGTGGTTGTCTCCGAAGACTTCTGCGAACTCTTGCTGCCCGAATTGGTGAGCTACTTGGAAGACGACAGACTTTGCGTTGAAGAGGAGCAAGTATTTAAGACTCTTCTAGCTTGGATCCATCACAACCCGTTCTCCAGACAGTAAACCATGAGAGCAGGAGGCCAGTGCACACCTAGCAACACCGTTTACACGCTTTCTCTCAAAACAAACCAATGGAGAATGGGCGAACCCATGCTGATGCCTCAATACACACCATCAGAGCTCCACCTATCTACATTTAATTTTCGTACTGGGTGGATTGACGGCTGTAGAGCGATACGACACCATGTTCAACCAATGGGAGGCCATGGCCCCCATGCCCACCGCAGTTCTGCACCCAGCTGTAGCTGCGCATAACCAGAGAATATATGTGTTCGGAGGAGAAGATGCCATGCAGAAACCAGTTCAAATGATCCAGGTTTGATATTTCAGGGTTATTTTGGATGTTTAATTGTAAAGAGCACAAATTTCAATGATTTTGAAGTGGTAAAAGATGTTTGTTCGTGATAGATGTACCACATAGGAAGGAATCTGTGGTGTAGGATGGAAACAAGGACGGTGAAGAACGTCTGTGCACCAGCTGCAGTGATTGATGATAAAATATACATTGTAGGCGGTAAGGAGTTTTTTTTTTTGTGTGTGTGTTATTGTAAAAATAGCGTTCCATTAAATCAAAATTCTTATTTTTTGTTGCCCGTTGAAGTGATTATTATAAATTATCTATGCAAATCATCAAACTTTGGAATTATTTGTTTATTTATTGAAAGAAGAATGATTTCTGAAGGATCATGTGACATGGAAGACTGGAGTAATGGCTGCTTAAGAATTCAGCTCTGCCATGCAGGAATAAATTACATTTTAAAATACATTCAAATAGAAAACAGTTATTTTAAATTGTAGTAATATTTATGTTAATATAAATGTTTTTACTGTATTTTTGATAAAATGATTACAGTCTGTTAGCATATGTCAAAATAGGAAAGAAAAAACAATCGCAATTTCCGTTTCATGCCAACTACATTTTTTTGTCTCAACAGGCTATACTAGAAGAATGGTAGCCTATGATGTTAAAACCAACAGGTTTGAAAAATGTGAAAATATGAAGGCCAGGAAGATGCATCACTCCGCTACTGTGGTCAATGACAAGATCTATGTCACCGGGGGCCGTTTCATTAACAGCCATGAGAGTGTGGAAGATTCAGACAGCTTTGACTGCTACGACCCAACGACAGACTCCTGGGCGTCAATGGGAACACTGCCATTCAAGCTATTTGACCATGGCTCAGTACCTCTGGTCTATCTCTCTGATAAGTTTCTGCCTACATGAATGTATTTGTGACAATGTAGCTTAGTCACTTCATACAAGTTTATAAATGTCTGTCTCTTTCTAACCTGTATTTGACAGATCATACTGAGAAAAATATAGAGTAAAAATACAAAGCATATTACGTTAGCAAAGTAATGAGACGCACACATTTTTCAAAGGTCTCTAAACGTGTTTGCACATGTTGCTTTTTGAATGTATGTGAAGTATTAGTAAAATAACTAGTAATAATTATTAAAATAGCTGAAAATATAAAAAATGAAGCTTAAATCATATAGCAGATACAAGTATGATATTTTTTTAACTTGATTTTTGATTAACATGTTACCTTTGAATCTCTGTTCAGTATTACTTTGCACTTGACACTGTATAGTTGCACAGTGTAAGTTTACATGAGTACTTTTATGTAAATACATTCCTTCATTTTGTAAACTGATTTCTTATTCATGTTTTTTCCCCCCAAGTATGTAGTGGTTACATCCTGTTGAAAATGAGTTTAATTGAACAATTATGTTTATCATTAAATGGTTCATAAAAAATTAATAATGCTTTTGTGTGTTATTTGTAAGTTGCCTTATCTGGCCGTTTAAATTGTATAGTTCATCCAAAAAATAAACTAAAAAACACACTAATCATTTGCTCAGTCTCATGTAGATCAAAACCTGCTGACTTGCTTTCTTGTGGAACACAAAACAAAATACTATAAAAGAAAAATTGGATCGTACTAACTTTTTTTTTGTAAACCTTTTATATTTCCACTAGTGCTGTCAAACAATTAATCGTGATTAATCGCATCCAAAATCAAAATATATGTGTCTGTACTGTATATTTATTATGTATATATAAATACACACACATGCATGTATATATTTAAGAAAAAAAAATGTAACATTTGTATATTCAATGTATTTATATATAATATAAATTATATAAATATATACATGTAAATATTTTTAAAATATATAGTTTACTGTATGTGTGTGTATTTATATATACATAATAAATATACACATTACACACATATATTACATAAAAACTTTTATTTTGGATGCGATTAATCGCGATTGATAATTTGACAGCACTAATTTTCACAGAAGTTAGAACCTCACAAGGGTAATAGACCTAAGGTGCGTCCCAAATTGCATACTTATGCACTATTCTGTAACGTTTTGTAGTGTTAATAGTGCTAGTGTGTTCACACTGAAAATTCCAAAACCAAAAAGTGCACTTTAAATACCCGAATGATGCACTTAAATAATACAAAATTAAGTGTGGAATGTTGGACACTCATGCACTCAACTGTCGCAGCTTTAATTACGTCGCGAAGGGGAAGGGGCTATCAGACTCCCGATTATTAATGACAAAATAACCTTATAAAATGCATACACTACATGGTTGAGTACATAGTGCATAAGTACATAGTGTTTAAGTGCATAGTGTATAGTGCGTCATTTGGCATGCAGTTCTAGTTAGGTTAAAGTTGTGAAGGATATTCTTTTCAATGACACACACTGTATAAAATCCTAGATCGTAATTTTCCAAAAGGCATTTTGTCAGCTGAACAATATTTCTCAGAGCCTTGCTTTCATTTCTGTCAAAAATTGGGTTTATTAAATGATGACAGAATTCAGATTTTTGGCGAATTATCCCTTTAATTGCTAAATAAAAACAACATATTTGTATAGCAACATATCTGTTTATTTGGTCCTTTAAATGTATAATCTCTTCTATTTGAAATTAAATGCATTCTTATCAATTGTTACATAGCTCTGTTGTGATGCATCATCCTACAGTACCTAGATCACAGATGAAGAAGCTCATCATTTGACATGCCACGGGAGGTGTGAAACATAAGGCAGCAGATGTGTGAGAGAAATGTGTGTCTGAGTATGAGTGTTACTGCCCTTTCTGAGTCTTACATGTCTTCCTGTCACTGTAACAAGTGTCAACATGCCCAGACATGAAACTGCGAATCACAAAGGTTTTGATGAGCCATTAAGAGACTTGCTACTGTCTCTTCTGATAGTGTGAATTCTTTGGTGGTATAAATTCACAATTCACAAGTTATACAAGTTCTTTGAACTTTGACATTAAGGATGATAAAAAAGGTGAACAACAATATCTGTGTTCTGATTACACAATGCAAAACGAGACCTATATACTGCATGTGCTCTGTGAGGTTTGCATTGATTATACTAAGTCAAATTCATATCTGAACATGTGCTGAATGATGGGGTTCAGTCAAGGCTATAGGTGATCTGATGTTATTTTGGGAAACAAACAAGGGAGAACTTTACACCCCCCAAAATCATGTGACTGGCCCAGATCGCAGATTTGGTTGGTCCAGGATGTAAATTGAAACATTTCACAGAGTGAACCTGAGGGAATGATGAAATCAGTGTAAGAGCAACAGCAACAGGTGTGTTAGTGAGCATGTGTGCGTGTCCGCTGACATGAACGCAAAACAAAAACACTTCTAGACATTTCCATCCACATCGTTACATGAACATTTACTTGTTTTGCTCGTTCACAGACAAATGTTGAGCTTTTCTTAGCTTTAAATCATGAAATGGAAATATGATTGTCATCTAGCCATCTACACGTCTAGGAAATCCCCTCATAGCACTTGTCCCTGAGCTGAGAGCCAAACAGTGACCATGGCTTGGGAAAATATATTTTAAGAGAAGAACAAATGTCACGTTGTTGAATGTATTTGCCTTGCAATTGAGGCAAATGCCTTCCTGATGTGCAGTTAAACTGTTGGAATGAAAAGCTAATGAAATGGGTCTCAAGTCAAAATGTTACTAAAACATTTCTGTCTTTTAAAAAGTTTAGACTACCATAACATCATTTATATTGGATATCTGCCTAAATGTTCTGCTTATTAATGTTTCCTAAATTAAACAATGACGCTATACTCATTATTCTTCCTTCTGAATAAAACTAGAATTCAATTGGTAAATTTATAAATAAAAAATGTAAACTACGTGTGTGTGTGTGTGTGTGTGTGTGTGTTCTATTTAAATATTTTTAAGATGTAATAAGAAAATGTTTTTAATTCTTAAGTCACATAATCCTACAGAAATCATTCTAATATGCTGATTTGTTGCTCAAGAAACATATGCTATTATTATAAAAAAAAAAACAGCTATACTAGGGCTGATACCTCGATATTAATCGATTCTCATTTTTAAGGAACAATATCGATTCTTAAAGGGGTCATATGATGTTGCTAAAAAGAACATTATT